TCTGTACGCGGGCCTCTCACTGTTGTGGCCTCTCCCGTTGCGGAGCACAGGCTCCAGATGCACAGGCTCAGCGGCCATGGCTCATGGGCCCAGCGGCTCCGCGGCACGTGGGATCTTCCTGGACTGGGGCACGAACCCGTGTCCCCTGCATCGGCAGGCGGACTCTCAACCACTGCGCCACCAGGGAAGCCCTATTTTACCATTTTTTATTGTGGTAAAATAGATATAACATTTACCACTTTGACTGTTTTTAAGTGTACACTGGTACACTTAAAAAGTACAAGTGTACTGTGGCATTAAGTACACTCACATTGTTATGAAACTGTCACCACTATCCATCTTTCGAACTCTTTCATCTTCTCAAACTGAAACTCTATACCCATTAAACAATAACTCCTCATTTGCCTCTCTCCCAGCCCCTGGTAACCTTTATTTTACTCTCTGTCTCTATAAATTTGACTATTCTAGGTACCTCATATAAATAGAATCATAACAGTATTGTGTTATTTTGTGACTGGCTTATTTCACTTAGCATAATGTTCTCAAGGCTCATCCACGTAGAATTTCCTTCCTTTTTAAAGCTGAGTGATATTTTATTGTATGTAATCACACTTTTTTTTTTTTTTTTTTGTGGTACGCGGGCCTCTCACTGTTGTGGCCTCTCCCGTTTCGGAGCACAGGTTCCGGATGCGCAGGCTCAGGGGCCATGGCTCACGGGCCTAGCTGCTCCGCAGCATGTGGGATCTTCCCGGACCGGGGCACGAACCCGTGTCCCCTGCATCGGCAGGCGGACTCTCAACCACTGCACCACCAGGGAAGCCCAGAAAAAACTTTTGACAAAATTCAACACCCATTTATGATAAAAACTCTCCAGAAAGTAGGCATAGAGGAATCTTACCTCAACATAATAAAGGCCATATATGACAAACCCATAGCAAACATTGTTCTCAGTGGTGAAAAATTGAAACCATTTCCACTAAGATTAGGAAAAAGACAAGGTTGCCCACTGTCACCACTGTTATTCAACATAGTTTTGGAAGTTTTAGCCACAGCAGTCAGAGAAGAAAAAGAAATAAAAGGAATCCAAATCAGAAAAGAAGTAAAGCTGTCACTGTTTGCAGATGACATGACACTATACATAGAGAATCCTGAAGATGCTACCAGAAAACTACTAGAGCTAATCAGTGAATTTCTTAAAGTAGCAGGATACAAAATAATGCACAGAAATCTCTTGTATTCCTCTACACTAATGATGAAAAATCTGAAAGAGAAATTAAGGAAACACTCCCATTTACCATTGCAACAAAAAGAATCAAATACCTAGGAATAAACCTACCTAAGGAGACAAAAGACCTGTATGCAGAAAACTATAAGACACTGATGAAAGAAATTAAAGATTATACAAACAGGGGCTTCCCTAGTGGCGCAGTGGTTGGGAGTCCGCCTGCCGATGCAGGGGACACGGGTTCATGCCCCGGTCCGGGAAGATCCTACATGCTGTGGAGCAGCTGGGCCCATGGGCCATGGCCGCTGAGCCCACGCATCCGGAGCCTGTGCTCTGCAACGGGAGACGCCACAACAGTGAGAGGCCCGCGTACCGCAAAAAAAAAAAAAAAAGAATAAAAAAGATGATACTGGAGAGATATCCCATGTTCTTGGATTGGAAGAATCAACATTGTGAAAATGACTATACTGCCCAAAGCAATCTGCAGATTCAATGCATTCCCTATCAAACTACCAATGGCATTTTTCACAGAACTAGAGCAAAAAATTTCCCAATTTCTCTGGAGACACAAAAGACCCCGAATAGCCAAAGCAATCTTGAGAAAGAAAAACGGAGCTGGAGGAATCAGGCTCCCTGACTTCAGACTATACTACAAAGCTACAGTAATCAAGACAGTATGATACTGGCACAAAAACAGAAATATAGATCAATGGAATAGGATAGAAAGCCCAGAGATAAACCCACGCACATATGGTCACCTTATCTTTGATAAAGGAGGCAGGAATGTACAGTGGAGAAAGGACAGCCTCTTCAATAAGTGGTGCTGGGAAAACTGGACAGGTACATGTAAAAGTATGAGATTAGATCACTCCCTAACACCATACACAAAAATAAGCTCAAAATGGATTAAAGACCTAAATGTAAGGCCAGAAACTATCAAACTCTTAGAGGAAAACATAGGCAGAACACTCTATGACATAAATCACAGCAAGATCCTTTTTGACCCACCTCCTAGAGAAAGGGAAATGAAAACAAAAATAAACAAATGGGACCTAATGAAACTTAAAAGCTTTTAGACAGCAAAGGAAACCATAAACAAGACGAAAAGACAACCCTTAGATTGAGAGAAAATATTTGCAAATGAAGCAACTGACAAAGGATTAATCTCCCAAATTTATAAGCAGCTCATGCAACTCAGTATTAAAAACACAACCCATTCCAAAAATGGGCAGAAGACCTAAATAGACGTTTCTCCAAAGAAGATATACAGATTGCCAACAAACACATGAAAGGATGCTCAACATCATTAATCATTAGAGAAATGCAAATCAAAACTACAATGAGGTATCACCTCACACCAGTCAGAATGGCCATCATCAAAAAATCTACAAACAATAAATGCTGGAGAGGGTGTGGAGAAAAGGGAACCCTCTTGCACTGTTGGTGGGAATGTAAATTGATACAGCCACTATGGAGAACAGTATGGAGGTTCCTTAAAAAAGTAGAAACAGGACTACCATACGACACAGAAATCCCACTACTGGGCATATACCCTGAGAAAACCGTAATTCAAAAAGAGTCATGTACCATGATGTTCATTGCAGCACCATTTACAATAGCCAGGACATGGAAGCAACCTAAGTGTCCATCGACAGATGAATGGATAAAGAAGGTGTGGCACATATATACAGTGGAATATTACCCAGCCATAAGAAGAAATGAAATTGAGTTATTTGTAGTGAGGTGGATGGACCTAGAGACTGTCATACAGAGTGAAGTAAGACAGAGAAAAACAAACACTGTATGCCAGCTCATATATATGGAATCTTAAAAAAAAAAAATGGTCTTGAAGAACCTAGGGGCAGGACAGGAATAAAGACGCAGACGTAGAGTATGGACTTGAGGACATGGGGAGGGGGAAGGGTAAGCTGGGATGAAGTGAGAGAGTGGCATGGGCATATATACACTACCAAATGTAAAATAGATAGCTAGTGGTTAGCAGCTGCATAGCACAGGGAGATCAGCTCGGTGCTTTGTGACCACCTAGAGGGGTGGGATAGGGAGGATGGGAGGGAGATGCAAGAGGGAGGAAATATGGGGATATATGTATATGTATAGCTGATTCACTTTGTTATAAAGCAGAAACTAACACACCATTGTAAAGCAATTATGCCCGAATAAAAATTAAGAAAAACAACAACAACTAGAAATAGAACTACCATGTGACCCAGCAATCCCACTACTGGGCATATACCCTGAGAAAACTATAATTCAGAAAGAGTCATGTACCACAGTGTTCACTGCAGCACTATTTACAGTAGCCAGGACATGGAAGCAACCTAAGTGTCCATCTACACATGAATGTATAAAGAAGGTGTGGCACATATATACAATGGAATATTACTCAGCCATAAAAAGAAACAAAATTGAGTTATTTGTAGTGAGGTGGATGCACCTAGAGTCTGTCATACAGAGTGAAGTAAGTCGGACAGAGAAAAACAAATACTGTATGCTAACACATATATATGGAGTCTTAAAAAAATTTTTTTTTCTGAAGAACCTAAGGGCAAGACAGTAATAAAGACGTGGATGTGGAGAGTGGACTTGAGGACACGGGGAGGGGGAGGGATGGGCTGGGATGAGGTGAGAAAGTGGCATGGACATATATATACTACTAGATGTAGAATGGATGGCTGGTGGGAAGAAGCCGCCTAGCACAGGGAGATCAGCTTTGTGACCACCTAGAGGGGTGGGATAGGTAGGGTAGGAGGGAGATGCAAGAGAGAGGGGATATGGGGATATATGTATATATATAGCTGATTCACTTTGTTATATAGCAGAAGCTAATGCACCATTGTAGAGCAATTATACTCCAATAAAGATATTGGGAAAAAATTAATACACATGGGAAGGAGGAAGCTGTGTGCAGTTGTCCATGGTCCTGAATGATCCAGGGCACAGGTGCACCTCCTGACCCAGGACACTGGGCCTTCAGGCCTCTCTCCCAGCAGTTCTGACAGGTTCATGAAGACACAGCTAAGAAGGAGGGAAGACCAATGGACACCTGGGAGCAAAGCCACTGATGGCTGGGGAGAAAAAAGAGAGACTTAAAAATTGAAGTATAGTTGATTTACAATATTATATTAGTTTCAGGTGTACAACATAGTAATTTAATATTTTTATAGCTTATACTCCATGCAAGGTTATTATAAAATATTGACTATATTCTCTGTGCTGTACATTACATCCTTGTAACTTATTTATTTTATACCTAGTAGTTTATACCTCTTAATCCCTTTCACCTATTTTGCCCCTCTCCTCACTCCTCACCCTTCTGGTAACCACTAGTTCCCAAAAGAGAGACTTAGGTGTGGTACATATATACAATGGAATATTACTCATCCATAAAAAAGAATTAAATTGGGTCATTTGCAGAGATGTGGATAGACCTGGAGACTGTCATGCAGAGTGAAGTAAGTAGAAAGAGAAAATCAAGTATCGTACATTAACGCATATATGTGGAATCTAGAGTGAACTGGTTTGCAAGGCAGAAATAGAGACACAGATGTAGATAACAAACGTATGGACACCAAGGGGGGGAAGTGGTGGAGGGGGATGAATTGGCACATTGGGATTGACATATATACACTAATATGTATAAAATAGGTAACTAATAAGAACCTGCTGTATTAAAAATGTAAAATTCAAAAAAAAATTAATAAAAATTATACATGCTAATTTTAGGAAAATTAGAAAATATAGGCAAGCAAAAAGGAGAGACTAAAAGGTACCAGTAATCTTGTACACAGAGGGAACCACTGTCAACCCCCTGGTGTGTGCATTGTTCCAGGCCTTTTTCCAGATTTGAGTGTGTGTGAGTTTTAAAATAATAGTAGAATAATTCACCATCTATATCTGTTTAATGTGAGTTCACTTACCAGTGTATGGTGAGCATCTTTCTCTAACATCTAACGTCTCTTAAAGCATTATGTTTTTATGGTTGTAGAGCATTTCCTATATTGATGTACAAGATGATAGATCCATATTGTTGGAATGACAGGATGCCTCTAGTTTTTCCTGTGAAACAATGCTTTGATGAACCTTTTGCAGCTTTATCTTTAATCACAAAGATGTGATTGATTGGGTAGATTAGAACTGGCCTTTGTTCTGTGCAGTCATGGCCAGGGAACATGAGTTGACCCTTGATAAATATGAATTGCTGCAATTATTCCTCAGCAGTAGACCTTGTCTGAGATCACGCTCTGTGGCACCTCTGTTCCCAGTGTTAGGGCTATAGATGGAAGCACAGTCAAAAGCATTTGACTACCTGTCAGCTATAGTGCCTTGCATCTATTTGATGCTGAGATTGTGTAGTGGTCCCAGCAAACTATTGCGCAAATGAATTTGCCCTCCTTTCTTACAGGGAACACTCATTGAGTGGACCAAAGGCTTCAAGGCTACTGACTGTGAAGGGGAAGATGTGGTGGACATGCTCAGGGAAGCCATCAAGAGGAGAAATGTACGTTATGGTGTTAAGGCTCATGCCTGACCTTGCCCCTTCCCCGAGGCCCCTCTGCTCTGCCATCCTATACCCAGCCCTGTGACTCTGGCCTCTGCCCACATCAGGCTGATGTGCCCCTCCTGAGCCTGTTTGGCTTGTACATCCTACTTATAGTAGAGCTGCTTCCTTTGCAGGAGTTTGACCTGGACATAGTCGCAGTTGTGAATGACACAGTGGGGACCATGATGACCTGTGGCTATGAAGATCGTAATTGTGAGGTTGGCCTGATTGCAGGTAAGTGATCAGGCATGTCCTATTGGCCTACTCCCATCTGATCTTTTAGAGGTTCCCTTTTAACATAGTGAAGGGCAGGGGGCCATTGTTCCATTACGTAGAGGTTCTGAAGCCAGCTTTCTCCAAAGTAGAGACAAAGTTAAGGTTGGGATTCCAGGTCTCCTAATTCCCAAATCTTTACTTAACATCTTTTTCCCTAAGGGTCCTAAGCCAAGGTTTTCCTTTCTGTTGAGGAAGGAGAATAACATAGAAAGAGGGGACTTTCAAATTAGCGCCTTGGGGCAGATTATTCTGGGAGGAAGGAGACCCCAGTTGGATCAGGTTGGCACGGGGCTGAGGGAGCTAGATTTTCATGTTGGCTCCAATATGCACCTCCTCTGTTCTCTGACCTCTTCTGGCTGTCAGGATGCACAGGATGGAGAAGAGATGGAAAGAAACCTAGGAGAGAAGAAGGGAGTGGCCTGAGGTATGATGTAGGCCTTTTAAGGGTCTTTTGGAAAAGTCTGGCAGTGTTTAAGGGTAAGGGTCGATTCCAGGGGGATACTCTAACAGGTGAGGGGGCAGGTGGTATTTGAACAGGTGGAGACAGGGGTGATGGGTGTTCTCAGTGACAGGCACAGGTTAAGTAATCACAGAATCTGGGCAAGTTGTTCCAGCTGGTTGTCTGGGCTTCCTGAGTTTAAGTAGTACATAGAACAGGAGATGGGGATATATTGAGATGTCTTCAATGCCACCTAAGAGGTTTCATCTCACTGTAGCACTTACCTACTTTGTGACCTTGGGCAGGTTGCTTATTCTCTCTGGGCTTGAGCTTCCTCATCTGTGGGAAGGGCTGGGCTAGATCTAGGAGGACAAAGAGGTAAGATTTGTTTGATTGATGATAATAGTTGCCTGGACTGTTGTGTTGAGAATAGTTCTGAGACCAGGTCATGGACAAAGGAGAAGAGGGTGGCTTTCAGATGCCAAGTGTCTTCTTATCCAAGACCAGATGATTCCTCATGGTCCCTTCCAGCTCTGACTGCTAATTCTGTTACTGCTTGGAGCTTACTTGGTGTGCCTGTGGCTTATCAATAATCATGAGGAGAAGGAGGACGAGGATAATGATATCATAGGTACCAATTCTATGTGAAGGAAACTTACGAGCATTGTCTCATTTTTTTTCTTTATAACAAATCTATAAAGCAGTTATTATTTCCTTTTTACAGGTGAAGTAATTGGCTCCCTGAAAGATGAGATACTTGTCTAGGGTCACCCAGCTATGAGTGTAAAGCTAGAGTCCACACCCAGTTGTATCTGACTCCAAACCTAAATTCCTATCTACTGTACCCTGCTGGCTCTTTAAGACGTAGTGGTGTCTTTTGAAGACTAAAGTCCCATCTTGACCTTTTAGGAACAGGCAGCAACATGTGCTACATGGAGGAGATGAGGAACATTGAACTGGTGGAAGGGGATGAAGGGAAGATGTGCATAAACACAGAGTGGGGAGGATTCGGAGATAATGGCTGCCTAGATGACATCCGGACCCAGTACGACAAGGAGGTGGACGAGGGGTCCTTGAATCCTGGCAAACAGAGGTGAGGAGGGCAGATGTGTGCATTTATGCAGGTTGTGCAGTGTACGACTTCAGCAGATCTAAGGGGGCGCCATTTTCATGTTGCAGACACCATAGTTTGTATATTTATGACAACTCTCCATCAGATGTTAGTGAAATGTCTTATTTGAACAAAAGCATAAAGTTATGACAAGTTTCCAACAAAGAGAAAGAAGGTGAGCCTTTTTCTAATTCCACAATGTACCATAAGTTCTAGTGGTGGCTTTGGAAGTGAGGCAGAGGTTGTCAGAAAAGTCCATTCACTATGGACTGGGTGTCACAGAGCTGGGACATGGTGACTTACTGGGCCCTCTCAAGATGGGCTTCTAGTACATCCAGTTTAGAGGTCAACATCCTTAGTCTTTCAAGAGCAAGCTGCCAGGTTGGTGATCTCTGTTGTTCTGGGCGTGGGGAAGTGGCTGCAGGTGATGGATGGGAGCCCTGGTTCTCAGCCATGACGACGTGTTCCAGCATGGGTCACAGTCACTTTGTGAGGTGTATTGCAATTGATAACCATACTAAAAATACTGAAAATAATGATGGTTTAAAAAAAACACAAAACAGAGTACATTTTCACTTGCATTCTCACATACCTTCTTGAATAGGAGAGAAAGGGGTAGACAGGGATAGAGCTAGCGTATGGTGGATTGATCATTAGCCTGAGCCCATCCATTACGACAGGGGTTGGCAAACTTTTTCTGTAAAGGACCAGATAGTAAATGTTTTACTGTTAGGCCATATGGTCTTTGTCAAAGCTAAACCCAGTGTCTTATTATATAATATAAGATGAAAATGTACATTTGTCCTGATGGATGATATCCAAGTGGAAAATTTGAGCAGATAGGAAATGTAATGGGATGCCTGGGCCACAGTGTGCCTCGCTGACTGTTGAACTGAGAAAACTCAAGCCCAAGACCGGCCCTGGTGGTCTCTCATCTTCCTTTGGCACTTGTCTTTGTAGGTGGGAGGCAGATGAATTGTGGTAAGCCCAGCTGAACCAGGGACCAAAACACAAGGGACCTTAATAAAGGGCCTTATCTCGAAATCCCAAGTTGGGGCATCCAAGTTTTATGTCTGAATCCACTGGAAGCTCACGTTTTTGGAGTGAGAGTTTAAGGGGGCAATATACTTGAATTCACCTGCTGTCACCATTATTTGTCTAAGTGTCAGTTCTTTAGACTGAATAGGTCCTGAGCAGTTAAGAGAACACAAGTCCAGCACGTAAGTCTCAGGCACACTCAGATTTCCATTTGACCCTGCAGGCAGTGGCAGTCCAGCTCTGCATCATTGTTATTAATACTGTCACACATACCTGCGCAGCGTGCCTGATCAGTGCCTGTCGGTTGCAAAGCTCCTTTTTCTCTTGCACCTTCTGCCTTGGAGCTCACAGCCTGATAGAAAGGGGGAAGGGAGCTAACATTTTGGACCACCCTTGGTGTGTGCATACAGTTTGAATGTGTTATCTCATGGAGCAGAAGCTCTGGTGGAACAGATTTCTTCAAATACAAAGCCAAGGAGAACTAGCTTTGGGGCCAGGAAAGGGACTCACTTTAGCTTAGTGTCTACTGTGCACCAGACGGTTGCCTCCCAACAGTCTTGTGGGGTCAGGGTTTTGCTCCCTGTTTTATAGATGATGGTTTAAAGTGCTTGCTCAGGTCATGCAGCTAATGTGTGGCAGAGCTGGGACCTAGTTCTTGCTCAATATGGCTCCAAAGCCTGGTCTTCCCACATCATACTGTCTCCCGCATGCACTTCTCTGGGCCTGCTGCCCACTCTGACCCACTGCAACCCAGGCAGCTGGTGGATGCCAATGGCATGCCTTCCACACTCTGACTTCTGATCCCTTCGGATCACACCACTCACCAGCACTGATTTTCCTGCTCTCGCCCACCGTATCCCTCTTCTCTAAACAGATACGAGAAAATGACCAGTGGGATGTACCTAGGGGAGATCGTGCGGCAGATCCTGATTGACTTGACCAAGCAGGGTCTTCTCTTCAGAGGGCAGATTTCAGAGCGTCTCCGGACCAGGGGCATCTTTGAAACCAAGTTCTTGTCTCAAATTGAAAGGTGACTCGTGATCAATTTCACCTGCTCGGCTTGATGTGACAGGCCCTATGTTGGATGTGCCGCTGTCACACCAGTTTCCAGCAGATTTGAAATTTAAAAATAGAAAGAGTAAGGGCCTGGCTGGGCATAGGGTTGCCTCCTGGGGTTGCTCCCTCTCTCCAGCTGTATCAGGACCACAGCACCCAGCTGAGGGTCCAGCAGCCTGTCTGGGCCCTGAGGTTCCTAAATGGTTACACAGGAGTTAGCTTAGGCTAAAAAATGATCCTCTTTTGATCCTGAAAAGATGATGTGCTCACACTTTATTCTTTAACGATGATGGGACTTCCTGGGGGTGGCAGACCTTCTTGAATCTCAGCTTCTCAGGCATCCTGCTCCAATCTTACCATTGCTTGGGTCATTTTCTTCTCCCTCCCGCTTGAGCATCCAGGGATGGGGGCCCGTGAGCCCTGCGGAGCGTGTTCTAGGACCCCAGGAATAAGTCCTGACATCCTGCTCTGCTTGCCTGCAGCGATCGGCTGGCCCTCCTCCAGGTCAGGAAGATCCTGCAGCAGCTTGGCCTGGACAGCACGTGTGAGGACAGCATCGTGGTGAAGGAGGTGTGCGGAGCTGTGTCCCGGCGGGCGGCCGAGCTCTGCGGTGCCGGCCTGGCCGCCATCGTGGAGAAGAGGAGGGAAGACCAGGGGTTTGAACACCTGAAGATCACCGTGGGTGTGGATGGCACCCTGTACAAGCTGCACCCGCAGTGAGTGCTCCAGAGAGGCCGGGGTGGGGATGCTGAGGCTGAGTGTGGACCCTGGTGAATCTGACAGACAAAGTGCAGGCCCTGGGGGCTCTGCTTCCTAGTGCTATGATGTGGGGTGTTCACCACCCTCTCTGAACCCCAGGCTCCTCATCTGTAACAGGCAGGCAGTAATAATCTCTGCCTCCTAGGCCTGCATCAGGGTTGAGTGAGTTCCTACATGAAAAGTGCTTTACACAGTGCTCAGTAAATACAGGTGATTATTATTAACACAGTCTCACCTGACCTCATGGGGAGCAATGAGAACTGACTATTTTGCACAGTACACAGCATGTGACAAGTATGAGCTCAGAGTCAGGAGGCAGAAGGATTAAGAGTGAGTTTGAATCCTGGCTCCACCAGTTAGAAGCTGGGGGGCCCAGGGCCAGTTTCTTACCCCCTTTGACCCTAATTCTTTATCTCTAAAATGGTGACAAAAATCATACCTACCCCATAGGTTGTCAGGAGAATTAAGTCAAATAGTGTCTGTAGACTACGTGGCACATCAAAAAGGTGGCAGTGAAAGCTTTTTTTTTTTTTTTTGCGGTACGCGGGCCTCCCACTGCTGTGGCCTCTCCCACCATGGAGCACAGGCTCCGGACGCGCAGGCCCAGCGACCATGGCTCACGGGCCCAGCTGCTCCGCGGCATGTGGGATCTTCGCGGACCGGGGCACGAACCCGTGTCCCCTGCATTGGCAGGCGGACTCTCAACCACTGCGCCACCAGGGAAGCCCCGCAGTGAAAGCTTTTATTTTTATTTAATGTTTTATATTTTGTTTTGGCAATGAAGAAAGGTATTAGCAAGCTTATAAACATTTCCAATCCAGCTGAAATGTATACATGAGCATATTATTACTGTAATCCTTGATTCTTAGCCCTTCCTATGATGCTGACTAATTATCCAGAATAACTGACTAGTATCTTTTCTTGTTTTTCCCCTTGGGGGTCACATATTTTTGGTGTGGTTCCTACAAGCCTCTTCCTTTGAACCAAGACCTGACCAAGGGACAGAAACCACATGATCATTTCAATAGGTGCAGACAAAGCAGTTGATAAAATCTAGCACTCAACACACTAGGAATAAGGGAGCTTCTTTAATCTGATAAAAGCATCTGTGAAAAACCCACAGCTGACATCATACTTACGGGCGAGACACTGGATGCTTTTCCCTTAAAATTAGCATCAAGACAAGGATGTCCACTCTTGCCACTGCTGTTCAACACTGTACTGCTTCTAGCACTGCCTCCAGATGGTTGTGTGGTTTTGTCTCTCAGTCAAGTTTTGATTCAAGGGAGAGGCTTATAGGAACCAGACCAAAAATATGTGACCTCAAGCAGAAAATCAAGGGTGAGTCTACACAAGGCAGTTAGGCAAGAAAAAGAAATAAAAGACATCTATATTGGAAAGGCAAAACTAAAACTGTCTTTGCAGATGACGTGATTTTGTATATAGAAATCCTAAGGAATCCACAAAAAACTATTGGAAGGAACTGAGAAACAAATTCAGCAAGGTTTCAGGATGCAAGATCAGTGTACAAAAATCATTTGCATTTCTATGCATTAACAATGAATAATCTGAAAATGAAATTAAGAAAATAGCATCAAAAAGAATAAAATACTTAGTAATAAATTTAATAAAAGAAGTGTAAGGCTTGTACATTGAAAATTACAAAACATTGTTGAAATAAAGAAAACCTAAATAAATGGAAAAATATCCCATGCTAGTGGATTGTAAAACTTAACATTGTAAAGAGAGCAACTTCCCAAATCTTTTTTTTCTAATTGAAGTATAGTTGACATGCAATATTATATTAGTTTTAGGTATACAACATAGTTATTTGACATTTATATACATTACAAATTGATCACCACAATGTCTAGTAACCATCTGTCACTGTATAAAGTTATAGCAATATTATTGACTATGTTCTCTATGTAGTATATTATATCCCCCGACTTACTTATTTTATAACTGGAAGTTTGTGCCTCTTAATACCCTTCATCTATTTTGCCCAACCCTCTAGTCCCTTCCCTTGTGACAATCACCAGTAGTTTGTTCTCTGTATCTGTAACTTTGTTTCTGTTCTGTTTGTTCATTTGTTTTGTTTTTCAGATTTCACATATAAATGAAATCATGTAGTATTTGCCTTTCTCTGTCTGACTTATTTCACTTAGCATAATACCCTCTAGGTCCATCCGTCTTTTTGCAAATGGCAAGATTTCATTCTTTTTATGGCTGAGGAATATTCCATTGTGTATGTATAGACCATATCTTCTTTATCCATTCACGTATTGATGGGCACCTGGGTTGCTTCCATATTTGGCTATTGTAAATAATGCTGCCGTGAACATAGGAATGCATATATCTTTTCTAATTAGTGTTTTTGTTTCCTTTGGATGAATACCCAGGAGTGGAATTAGTGGATCATATGGTGGTTCTATTTTTAATTTTTGAGAAGCCTCCATACTGTTTTCCATAATGGCTGCACCAATTTACATTCTCACCATCAACTGATGAGTGGATAAGCAATCTATTTTCCATCTATGCAATGGAATATTACTCATAAAAAGGAAGAAGTACTGATACACGCTACAACTAAGTGCTGATGATGCTTCTCTTTTTCTTTTTTATAGCTTTTCTCGGATATTGCAGGAAACTGTGAAAGAGCTAGCTCCTCGATGTGATGTGACATTCATGTTGTCAGAAGATGGGAGTGGAAAGGGAGCAGCTCTGATCACTGCTGTGGCCAAGAGGTTACAGCAGGCACGGAGGGAGAACTAGGAACCCCTTGGGGTTGGGCCGCATGTGCCTTGGATACTGACCAGCCTTTCCTCTGGCAGATGAATTGGTCAGAGACCAGCAGGCAAGCTTCTGGCTGACTTCACCTTCTGGATAGCCAAAAGAGAACCCCAGGTTCTTGGGTACTCTTAGCATTTTGTTACTGGTTTTCAAGGGTATTAAATGACATCTCTATTTGGCATGTTTGGACCAAAGATGGGCCAACTTATAAAATCAAAGCATTGGGCCCAAGAGATCCCCTTTCAGCAAGTCTTTCAGTTGAGACCTGAGCTGTTAGTTCTCTATGGCTTTGGGTCCCGTGGTTGCTGGGCTCGGAAACAAATACACGATCTGCCCATGTGGCCTGGCTGGCTGAATTCCCCACGGGGATGCTTCAGCCATTGCTTGTAGTAGATTGAGCCATCTACTTGTGGATGCACATTTGAGAGGGATAGGGGCTTAATTAACTGGAGATCTAATCTAACTTGTCATTAACTTGTCATGTTGACTTCAAGTGTGAAGAGAGAACAAAAACTTTGGAGTATTCAGCCCCAGGATGAAGACGCATTGATTGCCAGGGAGCCCTGTAGGAAACTTGTCACGCTTAAAGTGAGTTATATCAGCACCCTGTAGGATTTTGTTTCTCAGTAAACATGTATGATGGGGAGGGTGCTGTTTGGGGCACCTGTTATCATTTTACATGTGGTTTTTGTCACTGCTGATGATAGTTGTTTTAAGGACTATTAGGTATATGAAATCCAGTAAATGAATAAAAATATTTGATTTCCCAAGAATCTTTGCATGAGGTTTTAATATTTCATCTGGGAGGCTTGCTTGGTAACTTCATGCTCTGTTGGTGGAATGAGGGACCCATAGAGTCAGAAGTTGCTGACAGCATCTCTCTAGTTCAGACTTCTTACCAACAGGGGAAAAATATATGGAATATCTTCCATAATATCTTTGACAGATTATCCGAATTTCATTTAAATGAATACTGGCTGTGACTGGGCATTTACCACATGATCCTACAGCTATTGCTTTTTTTTTTTTTTTTTGAGGTACACGGGCCTCTCACTGCTGTGGCCTCTCCCGCTGCGGAGCACAGGCTCCGGACGCGCAGGCTCAGCGGCCATGGCTCACGGGCCCAGCCGCTCCGCGGCATGTGGGATCTTCTCGGACCGGGGCACGAACCCGTGTCCCCTGCATCGGCAGGCAGACTCTCAACCACTGCACCACCAGGGAAGCCCAGCTGTTGCTTTTGAACAGCTGGAGTTGACCAGAAGTCCTTTCACCCTCGAAACTAACCTCTGCCTCTCTGGAACTCGGCCCCTCCCACATGCCCCATCAGTCTCCATTCTACCCTCCAGAACTAAGAAATTGGCCTGTTCCTGACCATTTTCCCAGTGGACATCCTCTCTCTCTTTCTCTTCATCACCTACCCCACACCTCTCTGCCCTTTATCTGAACCACCCATATCTTTCTACCTTGTCACAGAGTTATCTGTATGCATTTCTTATTTGGCCTAATAGATTGTAAGCTCTTTGTTAGATACATTTTTGTTTTGCCCCAGTGAACTCAGTGCTGTGCCATTCTTATTAAATACTTACTGGATGGAGGCATGATTGAAATAAAGTGTTCCAAGAAATTTTTCTTAGAAAAAGTGGAGAGGCCAGCTGAGGCTGGGGACAGATGAGGGGGCTGAGGTTCCCTGGGAAATATTTTTTCATACATTTATGAAACAGGTATGGAGATACTGTTGTGGACAGGTTCTAGATTTACCAAAATGAACTTTTTTGTATTTTAGAGTTACACCTCTCTGCAGAGATGTTGTGTGGATTTGTTAAAATTATGTTTTTTTATTTTGAGGTTATTCTTCCTTGGGAAAATGTTTTACCTTAACAGATTTTGTCTTAGTCAACCCCAAACCTTGTTGTCCTTGTTATATTTCCCCAGTTCTCCTCTTCCTCGGTAAGACACCCCCAGCTCCAAGTCCCTCTCTCCCCTGGTTCTGCTGGGGGTCTCTCCCTTTGCCATCCTACCTGGATGCGTGATCTGGCCCAGAGACTCAGGGAGTTGCACCACCACATTCTCCTACAACCTGGTCTTTCAGCACATGTTTGGTAGGTTCAAGGTCACCTGGCCTACTTGTTTTTCAGTTTTGGTCTCTTACAAGAAAGAGAAGCCCCAAGGTATCTATCCCAAGGTATCTAGGCAATCTTGTACATTCTGACTAATTGATAGCATCATAGAATCCTTGAACCAGAACAGAACTGCAGAGAGGGCAGACATCCATTTTGCTATGTTTGGACAGGCCAGCCCCTGAAACACCCGGGGCAATGGAGGGCTAACTTCTCCTCAAAGTTTTCTAGGCAAGACCAGCAACCATGCAACCAGGTAAACTGTCCTTGTGAAAATCCCACAGACATCCTCTTAGGAAGGACTTCGTGATCATCTACATTTTCTACCCCTGTGGTGACTCTCTGCCAGTAACCTTTTGGCTGGAAAGAGCTGATGAATATAGATTTAAGAACTGGATTTTCCCCATGATTCTGACTCTCCAGAACAAATGACCTCATTCCCACTTGTCTGTCTTCAGAACTCTTGTTTCCTCTTCTTTCCATTAGCTGGAATGGGCACTCCATGAGAATAAGGACTTGGGTCTCATTCTTCCTGTTGTCCCCAGAGCCTACCACAGTGGCTGGCATTAAGTAGCCATTGGACAATTCTCTAAATGAATGAATGAATAAATGCTAAAACAAGCACGTGAATGAATTATTGCTCTCCTCTGAATCACTCCATTCTTCTATCTCACCCAGTGGCACTTGAGCCTTATACACAGTAGACACTCTATAAATGATAGTTCAACAAATGCTAAGCCCTGTTCTAGGCACTGAGGACCCAATGAAATGTAAGGTACCATTCCTGCTTTGTGAGAACTCACAGGCTAACAGGGAAGGAAAGACATATAAATATATGCAGTACAATATGGTAAACAGGAACAAGATGAACACACAATTCGTGACCATGTCCTGCATCCTTTAGATCAGGAACTCTCAATCTTTGTGTGTGTGTGCGCATGTATGTGTGCACACACATGTGTGTGCATGTGCACCATAAACCCCTTTGGCAATCTTATGAAACCTATGGATCCTTTCTCAGAATGTTTTTAAATGCGTTAAATACCTAGGATTACAAAGGAAGTCAGTGGTAGTGAATTACAGTTATTAGAATATTAAAGTGGTCGTATGGTAATAGATGTGCTTATTTGTTAATGCATTCTATGACAAGTTCCAGCAGGAACCTAATAACAATCATAATTTTCCTGATGAGTGTAAACAGTATTTTGAGACATTTGTAACAACAGCACATATATGAAAACTTCCATGGTTCCCACTGGAGACAAAGTTACAGGTGCTGCTAAAACTACTGTGGTTTGCTGCCCACATTCATAATGGATGGAGAGGCTAAATTTCAATTAGAGGCGATTGAAATAAAGTCGAAACTCTTTTCCAGAGAAGTTTATGAACTCCTCTCTTTGAGAGTCCCCCCTCCCCCCGCACCCCTCACCATGGGGCCCAGGTTAATCATCTCTGATCAAAATGTTCTAATAGAACTGGCATATTTAGGGATAGCATCTTAGATGACAGAGAGGCAGTATGCTTGGATTCAGAAGGACTAGGTGTGCTATTTAACCTTCCTGAGCTTCAATTTCCTCATGTGCAAAAGGAGACTTTATAACAGCCTAACATGGTCATGTGAACAACACAAGCTAAACTCTGGACATGTGGATAAGCTATGAGCCGTTTGTACACGTGTGAGGTGGTGTGTTAAGGTCGGTAACCGTTGTTGGGGGCCCATCTTATCATGGGTATGATCAACATTAAGGTCCCTCCAAGCCTATTGTCCGAACATATGGCTGGCTAATGACTGGCAACTGGGGGAAATGCATTTCTCACAACCCCTTCCTTCCACCTCTGACATCTTGATATTCCCTCTCTTGCCATTTCACAGTTGAAATTCCTGGTGAACCATATTTTATTAGAGAAAGGAGGGGACTTGGGAGAGGTTGGGTAATAACAGGGGAATCTGGTAGCTCATATCTGGGGTGAAATAGGAGAGGCAATTAGAGTAGAAGAGTTGGATTCTTTTCTAGTCCAGCCAGGGAAAGAATGAAGCTGAGGAGAAAGTGAAAATACTAAAAAATCTTCCAGGTTTGTTTTTGTTTTGTTTTTGTTTTTCCTAATGAGAAGGAAATAGATAGGGAGAAAGGTAGGTTCTTGACAACTTGGAATCAGCATGGCTTGAGGGATTGACCTAAAGAACAGGGATGGACTAAGCACAAAGGACAGTTCCAGCGTCTACGATTCACATCATGGTCTATCTGTGGCCCAGTTCCTAACAAGTCACCTCTGTGGTAGCTAGCATGGTCTAAAGTGGCCTTTCACAAAGTATGTTCAGAGTTTAACTGGATGTTCCCAAGTTCACCAGTTCCTGGAGTCAGTCACCCTTTCCTTTAATACTTAAATAAGATGGCTTTTTTCTCCATCCCAGTTACTACAGAGAGGTCTCTCTCCTACCCTAGTATTTCAGCAGTTCCTGGAGCGAATGCTTATATCTTCCCTTTACTCCTCTAATTCCTGTCTCCAGTTTGCTTCCCCCCATCTCAAATGATCCCACAATTCCTGCAGCTCCTTCCTCTTTGTTTTGCCGGCTGTGTGGAACTGTCTCTTTTTGATTCCCCAGCACACCGTTAACTCAAGGCCAGCGGCAGGAACAGACTTAGCTAAAGGTTTGGGGATTGTGGAGGGGGACTACGTCACACAACAGGAAACTATTTTACTTTTTTACTTTTTAATTTTTTTTTGGCCGTGCCACGCAGCTTACGGGGATCTTAGTTCCCCGATCAGGAATTGAACCCGGGCCCTGGCAGTGAGAACGCCAAGTCCTAACCACTGGACCACCAGGGAATTCCCAGGAAAAAACTTAAATATGAAATACTAGATATCAAAGTTCTATGACCATCCCTGCCCCAGAGAACTTCTCACTGGCCATCTTTCTCCATAGGCTCTGCTGGCTACATGTTTTATGGATTCTTCCCACTTTCTCTGGAGACTTCTTTCTCCTCTTCTGTGAATTCTGGACTCCTCCATAAAATGAAAACTTCCTATAGTTTTATTTTACAGAGTAAGTGATTGTCCTATGGTCTCAATCCACTCCTAGGGCAGCCCAAGGGACCATACTTTTCCCAAACAAAAAGGCCTGTTGAGGTGTTTGGATGAACACCTTTGAGAGAAAAAGAAGGATTTTCTCTCTAAAAGGAATTATTCTGTTCTCTTAGAGTCAAGCTACAACGAGCATTTTTCCTTGATATATAGTAAATTGCGTATATTTAAAGTGTATAATTTGATACAATTTGATGGCATCATTACCACAATGAAGATAATGAACATTAACCACCAAAAGTTTCCTTGTGACCCTTTGTAATCCCTCCTTCCTGCCCCTCTCTTCCTCCTTCATACTTGGGTAACTACTGATTTGCTTTGTTTTTAATATAATTTCTTTTGCATTTTTTAGAATTTTATATAAATGGAAGCATACATTGGTACACTTTTTTGATCTAGCTTCTTTCACTCAGCATACTTATTTTGAGACTCACTCATGCTGTTGCAAGTACGAAGTGTCCATTCCTTTTATTGCTGAGTATTCCATTGTGTTAATATACCACAGTTTGTTTATCCATTCACCTTTTCATGGGTATTTGGGTCGTTTCCAATAGCCAATAGTTTTTGGTTATTAAAAATA